TCTCTCTCTCTCTCTCTCTCTCTCTCTCTCTCTCTCTCTCTCAATGCGGCCATTACACTTCAGGGGTGTATGGATCGACGCACGACATTGCTGACGCAGTTGTTGTTCGTATTCCACTTTGATGTATGTGGGGAAAAAAGGGTCATGGCTCGAAAGCCAAAAGACGAGGATCTGTGTAGGTCTTTGAAGGACGTGGGAAAGAAGGACAAGGGGAGGAAGAAATGCAAGGCTGATGAGAAAAAAGAAAGGAGAGAGCATCGCAGAAGCAGATCCTAGAATGCAAGAACGGAGCGGACCAGCAGCCGCAGAAACGGATCAAAAGTTTCTCTCCCATCAAGTCAGAGGGGGATTTCAAAGCTGAAAGAACGCAACGAGTTACCCCCTGCAACTCCTGCCTCACGGAACCGTGCCAACGGCGTCGAGAACCGTCCACCCAAGGCCCCCGAGAAGAGGTCGCGGGAAGACGGAATGTCAAAGGTGCACCACAGGACAAAGAAGAGAATCATGTACAAAAAGGACAGAATGGTGGAGATGATCGATCTGAGAGCCTCAGACGATGTGCACAGCGCGGCCCGAGAGGAAGCAGAAGAGGAACACGACTAGTCCATATCAGAAAAGTCTGACGGGGAGGAGAATCAGGCAATAAGTGACGAGGGAGGTGACAGTCAAACTTCCGATGAACATTCTCGCGACACTCACGACGCTGATGACGAGAACGGCCGAAGCAGCGACGGCACAACACAAGACGAGGGCGGTGACGGGGCAGGAGAAGACGACAGAAGCGCGGATGGAAGAGGGAGTTTCCCATCTCCGGGAAGAACGCGACGCACGAGGGAACCCGAAAGTGGCGGCGAGGGAGGCGCACCCGACGAGCCCTCCATTGACAGACAACTAGTGAGGCACGAGAACACAGTCAAAAAAGGTAAAAAAAATGTGCTGAAGTTGCTCCTCTTGCACAACGATTACGTGGTGACGGCACAAAGTGATGACATTTCCTTATTGCGAGGATGTCGTTGTGATGAACGTACAGTTGAAACGGGCTGTTGAATTTGGCAGGTGCGAAAATGGGTGCGAAATGCGGAGTTCTTAATATTATTTTGTGCGTTGTAATATGTGTCTTTCAGCAGATGGCACGAACTCGCAAAGAAAAGTGTGCGCGAGCAGGAGAGGACAGCAACAAGGCAATCAAGAAAGCGGCGTATTCTCGAAGAAAATGAAGGACAGACTGTTTCGGGCGGTCGCAAAAACCTTTGCGTTTTCAGCAGCAAAGGACGCAACTCTGTACCCAACACAGGATGAAATTTTCACGGCACTGCAAACAACGATCAAACTTATAGGCGAGAACGCCGAGGAAGGATTGCGATTTCACGTAGCAGAGTGCGGGATTCGAGCAGTCATAGGGGAGTGCAACAGAATGATGACAACCGTGCGTGGAGAGATAACATGGCAACCGAAACATTGGTTCTGGGCTGAAAAAGGGATCCCGCTTGTACGATCGCAGCAAACAGATCACCAGCTCCATACTCGCAACAAGATGCGAGCAGAGATGAAGGAGAACAAAACGTGGAGACGGAGCGGCAACGATCCTTGGGGCGCCCCAGCCTTCAAGACGACACTCGCCAAGGTTTTCCAGATGAGGAGGGACGGTGTAAACCTTGGTGTAACCCTGCAGCAACTGGCTTTTGCAGAGATGGTTCTGCAATGTGAAATCGAGCAGACAACAAAGACCACCAGAGCGGTGGAGCAGATAGGAAAATTGGTCTCTATAAAGCAGGACATCCCATCATCTGTCCGCAGTCGCGATACAGTCATGAGTTTTTCGATCTTCAAGTTGGACCGTACCGTATCTGAGGCTGAGAAGGTTGTTGTGCTGTTTCGAGCTGGCGTGCCCTCTGTCCACAGGAGTGGGCCACACAACACAACAATAATGGATGACGATTTCGACCTAGAGTTCATTGCATCGCAGCATGAGAGAAGCAGAGACGGGGAGAGGGATACAGAAAGTCTGTGCGCCAGACCTTGAACAGCGGGGGGGGGCGGGTTAGTGAACAGAATAGTGTGAATCAGAAGGTTCATTATGGAATCTGTGAATCAGAAGGTTCATTACACAAGGTCACGGTCATTCCATGAGAGAGAGAGAGAGAGAGAGAGAGAGAGAGAGAGA